CAACATATTTACCAATTTCCATTTAGCATTATGGTATTCCCACGTGCATCACGAGCGGACAACGTGGACCAAAGTACATTTTACAATTTATTGATATGTAAAACCCGTATGGGGCCATACCAATACCGAACCGATAAACCTTGGGTAACCCATAGTCGGTTACCGATAAAAGTGAGTTGGTTCGGCTCGGTGTATTGTTTCGTTGGTTCGATTCGATTTTCAGTTTTTGATAAAAAAAAATACCAGCCCTACTTTTAACAACGCAGAGTCAAAGACTGTAAAAGTCCCAATTCCCTCCACTTACTACCTGTTGAATTACCTATATCAGTCAGGATCGCATGATCAACAGCTGATTCTATTTTGAGCAGCCGCTTAACCGAACCCCTCAATTTCAGCTGCTTAAAAATATGAGCAAAAACATCGACTCGGCAACACAACCTATTGCAAGCCCGACTGGCTGAACCACCTCACATTTCATTTTTCACAACCTAACATCAGAGTCCCTCGATCTGCTCTTTGGCAGTAGGCATAACATGTATACGATCAAAAACATTATTTGTCTGTAAAGTTTTGAGAAAGCAAATTATCCAAAACACAAACGCAAAACGTGCATTACTTATTTTGAGCTCACAAACATCCAAGTTCGATGTTGAATAAAATGTACGAAAATGCAGAAACCACAGCTAAAATGAACCTCACACACGATAACAAAGTGATTCCTTTGAGCGAAATCACCTAAGGGGTATTACTGAATGAAGTAAAGCAGAAAAGGCTGTAGTAGGTGTCATAAAAAAAAGTGCAAAAATCCATTTATTTCGCCAACATCTTGCAAGATAAGAAAAAGGGGGGTCACAAGCATTGTTTTGATTAGCCTTCCAGTGCTGATGCTCCAGATATGATCTCAATGAGTTCGGTCGTGATGGATGCTTGACGAGTTCTGAGAAGTACGCACAAGTAAACCCAGTCATATTGTAAATTATAATTATTAATAACAACAACAATAACAAATTATAATAAATAATAATACAAACTAAATAAAAGAAGGCATGCAAATAAGTCGAGCCCATGTCTGGTTGTGTGTGTGCACGAGCGCGCATGTGCGTGTGCGTGTGCGTTGTGCGTGTGTGTGTGTGTGTGTACGTGAGAGAGAGAAAGAGAGAGGGAAAGAGAGAGAGAGAGAGAGAGAGAGAGAGAGAGAGAAAGTGGGAGAAAAAGATGAAACCTGTTATAAGTGAGAGTGAGACGATCAAGCATATCACCCGCATTCCTGCTGGAGCTATCCATGGCAGACATCCTAGCACCTTGCTCACTGCATGCATTTTCTAGGACTGCATTGAACATCACCTGAACCACAAACATTATCCAAACCTTCTTCAATACATATCTTTGACTCAGTGAATGCAAAAAATGATAGCTAATAATAAAACCTACACAAGAAAACTGGAACTCGGAGAGATTCTGAAGCACTTCCGACTTAGATTCACCACCTTCGATTTCATAGTTATCCAGTTCCCCGAGTTTTCCACCAGCCTCGGCTTCTCTCTCTACAACCTACATCAGCATCATATCTAACAGTATCATCACAAAAGCTCGCATTACCAAACTCATGCCTAAAATGTCAGACAAAAGACCTCAGGAGATAACACAGTAGACGTCGTTGGCACGAATGACACCACCGAATGGAACTTATTATACACGATCCTTAATGCATCATACTCGACATTCTTTAGGATGTCATCTGCTAGCACAGCAACCTGAAATGAAGATGCAATAAAATTTTTAATATCTACCATGGAGATTTCTGGAAGAAAACTAATTTGGACATATTCGTGCCCAAATATAATAAACTCAAGTAGTTTTGATTAAATAAAAACCATCAACATTTCAAAAACCTTTTGTCCTGTAACAATTATGGAATTTGAATAGGTGTCATGAATCATTTGCCAGGCACGGGCCTAGAAAACCACCTGTGTATAGTTCAGAGGATTCTTTTGCAACTCTGTAATCGCTAGCAGGATGTCATTTTTCGAGTCCCTCACAAGTTGGGCCTTCGCCTTTTCTCCAAGAATGACATACTTACACTCCTTTTCAGGACCTGCAGAACACAACAATGAAAACCAATGACGTGCCAAAATGAGGAATAGGAGGTGATGCATAAGAAAACACAAGGCACATAGCCCAGGACATTAGAAATATACCAGAATTCAACTTATGGAGACCCCTGCTTATCTTGACAGCTGTAGAATTGATGCCACCACAAAGACCTTTGTCTGAAGAGATCGTAACAATGACATTTTTCTTGACATCAACGCCTGATCCATTAAATTACACACTGGTAAGAGCAAAAATAATAATGAACTTCTTTTTCCGTGAAAATGAGGAGACTTTGAAACCAAATTCTAATTGCCCAAAAACAAAATAGCATTAAGAATGTGAAAGTAAATAGCACACTCTGGCAACAAATCAAATGGATATAAACCTAACATAAATTGTCAAAAGAAAAGGAAAAGACAAATATTATCAGCTCGTATAAGCGATCTCAGATTAGCAGTAGCTGCAATTTCTTATCCAATTGATAATACAAATATTCTCCACTTCTGGGCAACAATGCCATAACATGAACAGTATTATATAACTACACCTAAATAGTCAACCTCAATCAAACCCCTTGTAAAATGGAAACAGGGATATTACATGTTAAAAATTCTGCATAAGAAATTGTTAAAAGAATGAGTCACAGATACTTCTGGAGTTCCCTGTACAGCTCAACACGCAGAAAAGTGTTTGTGCTTCCAGTAGCAAAGTTGTTCTGAATTGACTGAATTTCTAGCATTTACCTCATTCCCCGCAGAAATATTTGGATGCCACCCTAAGTCAACTAGCAGATGCCACATCCTTTTAAAATGTATATATGATGTGCGAACACGCTCTTCAAATGGACCAAAAAAGCATAAACCAATAAACCACGGCAGAATGACCAGCAACTTAAAAGAGCAAAATTTCCATAAACCACGCCTAAGGAAGGGAGTAAAGTAAGATACAACTTTACGATCAACTCACTAGGAATGTCACCAAGAAGAGCAGTGAATGGCTGCCATAGTCCACGTGAGTTTTCAGCTTTTGTTTGGATGGCTCGGAGCTTTGAAGCTGCAACCATCTTCATTGCCTTTGTGATTTTCTGAATATTTCGGACACTCTTCATTCGATTGCGGACTAAATATTTCAAGCATTAGAACAAAAATCATTTTCAGAATAAGCACACCAAGCGTGGGAAAAGACAGGGTACGCATAAATAACTAAGAAACAATTCCATGCTATGTTAGGAATATATCTCACCAACTTGAGTTGAAATGGAGCGAACTCCAAAAACAGCATGCTCCCTGTAGATATAAATTGGCATTTTAGAGGCGTCAACGGAAAACGGACATGGCAAAGATAATCACAACCTTTGCTAAAGTGCACAAGGACTGACGATATCAAACACACCAGAACATCTCTCAAGAATACAATGATATGCGATCAGTTAGGTATGTTCGGCTTCACAAGGAGAACTTCTAGTATAAATGTGGAATTTGATTTTGAGTAGTTTGACAAGAAAATGAATTCAGGAACTTGATTCTCAAAAAAATATAAGCAAAAATTACTCATGGCAGTTCTTATCCAAATACACTATGCTTTTCATTTTTACTTATTTTTCACAACAAAGTAATGTACAATTTCTTTTGAGATATACCACCACTACACACCACCCAGCTGATGAGCGCCGCTCCAATGCAGATCAACACCTTTCATCTCCCGTTCTTTACAAATATGCCCTTTTCTGTTAGTACTGTATAAGTGACCGAACAGTATTAAGTCACCTTAACCAACCCTTAGCTAAATGCCTAAGAGCCATTACCAAATAATTGTATACCACTTTGCATCCTGAGTTAACAAAAACCACGACACCATATATGATCCGGAATTTCATTTGATGAAACTTGAAGCTCAACTAGTGGGTGTTGTCAATTAGTAAAAACTAAACATGAAAAAATAAATATTAGGCAATGTACTCTATAGAGTCTGCTTATTTAAAAATGGCATGAGTTCAATAATCATATTTCATCTTTTAATCTCAATACGTATTCAAAGAAGTTTGAACAATAGCATACCCTTCACTGAGATCATTAACACCTGCAACAAATCCAAGAAAATACATACTGCCTAATTTTGGGGGTGAAGAAAAAAGAAACAAGAAGATGATACAGCATAAAGAATGTGCAACGGAAATCTCTGTGAATTTCTCCATGGAAGCTGTTTCATGCTCTAACCTTTGCAGCCATAAAATAAAATAAACAAAATTCCGATAAAACATGGAAGGATCATTCGGAGAAACAAAACCCAATTGCCTGATGCAAGTTTCCAATCGAAACACGAGCAAAAAATTCAAAATCAAACACTGGGATGCGCAAAAGTCCAATCGCCGAACAAAAGAAAACAATGCAAAATCATAAACTCCAAAAAAAAAGATCAGGATACCACATGAAACGTAGAATGGGCAGATCATATCTTACTCGTACGAAACCGGAGTGGATTGGATAGGGTAAACTGGGCGCGGGGCCATGAGAGGAGCGGCCAATCGCCTTCCCTCGCGTCTCAGTGCAGCCATCGCCATTTTCAGCTGGATTTGGTTCGATCAGACAGAATGAATATCTTCTTCGCAGTGTGGATGGATTAGGGTTTGCTTAAAGGTGCTCAGAAATGGAGGATATCAGAAATGCAGATTTACAGTGCTTTTACCTGGCCTCACGGCTCAGTTGATGCTGGAAAAAACATCACACACTAAAATTAAAAGGAAACAAATAATAATAATAATAATAATAATAATAATAATAATAATAATAATAATAATAATAATAATAATAATAATTTTTTGTGCCCAAAGTATACATATTATTTATTATAGTAAGGTTAGTTTTAGTGGAATTTTAAGTTTTGATTTAAATAATATCCTCTATATATATAAATTTCGAATGCGTTGAGCCTACGTGGTTATTTCTGGTGCTTCGAAATCCTACTTGGCATTGTGTATATATGAAATAAATAAATTATATTTATCTTTATAATTATAAAAAATAATAATATTTATTAGAATCCATAACTGAAAAAATAAAATTATTTCTCAATTGATATATTTATGCTTAATATAGTTATATGTGGTAAATTAAAAAAAGTTATTGTAATATAACACATGTAAATCACACAAATAAAAAGTGTCATACTAAATATATAATAATATATATTTTTATAAAAGGTATTTAAATTTTTAACTACTTTTTCTCATTATTTTAGATTTTAAGAAAAAAATTAGCAAGACCGGTGTAATACACGGGCGTTGTACTAATTTAATATAAAATTATTAAATTGATTTTATGTAAAAGTAAGAGATATATAATTGGAAGTTAATTTTAAAATTATGTGAACGAATGAATAATAAATTAAGAACAAATGAATATTAAAGTAAATAATTAAAGTTGATATGATGCGTGTGAATAGTTGATTGAAATTGTTTAATTATATTGACAAAATTAATGATTGTGAAATTGAGTTAAATTTTGAGTTAGACATTTGATATTTTTATTTTATTTTATATTTTTTGGTTTTTTTTAATTTTTTTTTTTTTTTTTTT